TAAGAAATGCACAAGTTAGTCTCGGAAGTAGAGGCTATTATTAATAAAATCAATAAATTATCAGGCCATTAATTTCAGTGTTCCTAATAGTGTGGATTTGAGTTCAAAAAGCAATTAGAATGGGTGAAAAACATTGTTTATCTGTACACATTTTGATTCTATTCATGCGGCACCAGTCCTATGTCAGGGGGCATAAGGATTGAATGTAGGGCTTGAACTAATAAATTAAATCGGGAATTTGTACATATATGCATAATTTATTTCACACATAATTTACTTTACAACTACTTTATTTCACACATAAATTACTTTACAACTACTTTATTGCACACATAATTTACTTTACAAATACTTTATTTCACACATAATTTACTTTACAACTACTTTATTTCACACATAATTTACTTTACAACTACTTTATTTCACACATAATTTACTTTACAACTACTTTATTTCACACATAATTTACTTTGCAACTACTTTATTTCACACACAATTTACTTTACAACTGCTCTATTTCACACAATTTACTTTACAACTACTTTATTTCACACATAATTTACTTTACAACTACTTTATTTCACACCTACATTATTCCACAAAAACGTTGTTACAATTACTTTACTTAACTTTATTACTTTTACTAATCTGTCTCTACAGCATCAATGTTTGTTGATACTCTGAGTGCTTCTTGATAAACCACATTAGAAGTTCACGCTTCTTTCTCAGCCAAAATAAAGAGACTTCTTGGTGATCCTACTCTTGAACACCCAACACACAAAAATGATCATGTGAAAAGCACAGTTTTTAAATGTAGCCCTGCCACTTTAAGGATCTGACTGTGCTTTGATTGACATTTTTGTTGGCAGAAATGTGAATATCTGACATTTTTAATGAAAAATCACAAGATAAAAATTGGTCCAAGACTGTGGAGTCATTGGCTAAATAAACATATTTTTGCTGTGAACATGACCCAGGGTTTTTGGGGCCAGGTAATAATTGCCCTAGATATACTCCTCAAACCAATGTATCATCCAACTAAGTTTGGTTGTAATTCGTCCAAAGAATGTGGAGTAGTTTGTGAGCTAACAATCAAGTACATTTATTAGTTTGTGAGCTAACAATCAAGACACATTTATTAGTTTGTGAGCTAACAATCAAGACACATTTATTAGTTTGTGAGCTAACAATCAAGCACATTTATTAGTTTGTGAGCTAACAATCAAGCACATTTATTAGTTTGTGAGCTAACAATCAAGACACATTTATTAGTTTG